CCCTCGCCTAAGTGGGCAAATAGACGTATAAAGCGTCGTCTGCACTCACTGTTCTTTCTGTAGATCTGTATAATAATAATTTAATTATCCTTACTAAAACAATTATATATAAAAATATGGAAGGTGGTATAATAGAACAAAGCGGTAAATTTCATATTAATTTTATTAAAAGTTTTTTTTTAAAATTTTAAAATTATTTTAATATATAATTGTTTTTTTTTTTTTTTTGATAAAAAAGATATACCATAACTCGGAACAAAATAAAGAGAAGACCAGTATTTCAAATGAACTAGTAGAACGAAATAAAGAGATCGCTGAGCCTAAACAACAACAGCAACAACAACAGCAACAACAACAACAACCCAAACCGATTCATCACCCTGGTAATATTTTGCAAGCGACCATTAATAAAATGTTTAATTTTGAACCTGTAGATAAAGATGAATAATAATAAGTGATAATAAGTGATAATAAGTGATAATAAGTGGTAATAAGCGATAATTAGTGATAATAAAGTATAATAAGTAGGAAGAAATTACAAACCTCTTCCTTCAATTCTTTTTCTTTCATACTCTGATAAGCTGTTTCAAATACATTATGTGCGCGTAAAACTCCATCTTCATGATTACCTTGATCAGCATTTAATTCAAATTGTGCATAACTAATCCATACTTTAACATGACCAGTTTTTTCTAATAATCGCTTATATAACTGTCGAGTATTCTCGAATTCTTCTTCAGTAAAGTCGATGTAAGCCTTCCATAATAATTCTGGCATATCTAAAACTGGTTGCTCTACTCCGAGCTCAAAAATAGCTCGGCAACGATCATAATCGCCCAACATTCTTTCAAGTTCCGCGAATTTTATCCATGCATAACAATTAGCAGGATTATGTTCCAGGTATTTCGAATATAAAATTCGACAACGGTCAAATTCTCGTAGCTTTAAATTGCAAAACAATAAATTAGTTGAAAAACCAAGTTTCATTTAATTTAATTTATTAAACATCTATTCTTATTCTTACCTGTAACTCTAATTCTACATATCCTTTAAAAAGTT